TAAATACATAAAAGCAGTTTTAATTTGATTGTTTAGTTAAATTTTTTATTTCATTTTATTTTAGTTTTATTTATTTAGTTTTGTGTTATTCAGTTTTTTTTATTTAAATGGACTTCCTTTAACTTGGCTAGAATAAAATCAGTTTTCATTTAATGTAATTATTTATTTATTATTTTTTGTGTTTTTTTATTGAATATTTTATTTTTGTTTTGTTATTTTTTATTTTATTTTAAGCAGATTATTTTGCTTGTTTTAAGGCAAAATAATAAAAAGATTTCACTTATTTGTTCTTAACACCAGACAGTAGTTTTTGCTTGTCCAGAAAATAATTCTTGATTTAAGATTTTGTAGAGATTTAGACTAGAAACAAGACAAAAGCTCTAAGTAAAAGCACAGTATTTTGTCAGTATTAACTGCAGTTTTTAGTGCTCCAGATGCATGAAAGCCTGTCAGTGATTCTCCAGGTTTGTTTATCTCTCACCGAGCCGCTAAAACAGACTCTCCAAACTCTTCTTCTTTGTTTCCGCAACACAAAAGGCTGCGCTTCAGTCGAGTCCTGCTGTGTTTGCTCCTCTGTGGCCTTGAACACAACAATGGTGTTGTCCTCTAAAAACCTTCACGAGCACTGTCCCGTTACCAGCCCTTTCATTCAGAGCCACCGCAGCTGTAAAAAAGCTGAGTGTAATAAAGGTCGGGACCTGATACTGGCTTTATATATATTTTTAGATCAGATTTTTGGTTTTAAGATTGGCGGTTCATTCCGCTGTGGTGACCTTTTAATAATAATAAAGGGACCAAGCCAAAAAGAAAATGATTGAATGAATGAAATTTTTGGTTTTAGTTCACCCAAAAATGAAAACCACCACATTTATTTACCCTCATCCTCGGTGTATTTGACTTTTTTGTTAGCCAAACACAAATGGAGTGTTTTTATTTATTTTAAAATAAATATAAATCTTTATAATAAATGCTTTTAGATATAGTTACAATTTTTACATGCATTTTTAAACAGTTTTTTTTTTACATGCGTTTTTATGTGCTTTTTTACATGCATATTTTTTACATCAGTGTTCAAGTTTTTATGTTTAATGGAACATAATTTTTGTTCCTTAAATTTTTATATATGCATTTTTCCATGCATTTTCTATGCTTTTTACCATGTATTTTTCAATGCTTTTATTTTTTTCTGTTCCATTTCTTTACATGCATTTTTATTCCTGCGATTTTACATGCATTTTATATACTTCAATGTTCTTATTTATTTTATCATTTATTATACATGCAGTATAATAGATAATAATTACATACATTTTTATACATGCATTTTTATTCATATGTTTTACATGCATTTTTATCTATATTTTGTTTATCTGCATTTTTTATATGCAGTTTTTTACATATGTTTTCTACATGCATTTTTACATGCATTTTTAAACATGGATTATTACATGCATTTCTTCCATGCATTGTTATTCATGCAATTTTTACATGCATTTTATGTTTTTTAATATGCTTTTACATGCATTTTTTATACTTTAGTGTTTTATTTATTTTAACTTTTTATACATACAGAATAATATAATTTTTACATACATTTTTATGTGCATTTTGTACTTGCATATTTTGCATACATTTTTATAAATGGATTATTACATGCATTTTTCCATGCTTTTTACACATGCAATTTCTCCATGCGATTTTAAATGTGCTTTTTAAGTTCATTTTTTTTACACATGAGTATAATAGAATTTTTACATGCATTTTTTTTCATGCATTTATATCTGCATTTTTATACATGCTTTTTATGCATCCTGTATAAAAGCATTTCTGCATGCCACTGCCTCTAATTGAGTCTTCAACTGTACATCATTATCATGAAATGAGATTGCTTAAACTGTGCTACATTCATCTGACCTCAGAAATCTCCGGATCGGCTCGATAAATTATTAGTCCTTAATTTCCTCTGGAATGTGCTAAAGGTGAGACTCTCCTGCTGTTTAAACAAATAAAGCTCAGCGTTTGTGCTGCATCCGCTGCGGCCCTGAATGAAGATGAAACTGGACCCTTCAGCTCAGGGTGGTCTGTACTGTTTACCTCAAACATTTCACCTACAAAACAACAACTCTGAGCTCATGAACATCATCGCTTCCCTCGGGCTCTGCAGAACGTCTTGATTTCCTCCTGTTGGCTTACTGTTATGAGCTTGACCCTCCTTCACTGATACTCTACAATAAAGCAGATCTGTTAAACTTCAGTCCTCTGATCTATTCTACGATCATCATCACACACTCTGAATGTTTGGGTGCTCCTCATCAGTGTGCAGGATTTCAGTGTGTGTGTGTGTGTGTGTGTGTGTGTGTGTGTTGGAGAACCAACTACAAACATTAATGTTAGTTTGACGTTGTATCATGGTTAGTTAATAACACAACATAGAACCGACAAAAAACATCAGCGTCTACAGATTTGAGTTTTTTGACACTTTATGGACATCACGTTGTGACATTAGCCTGACGTTGGATTTTTGTTCAGTTGATGCCACAACATAAGCAAACCAAATATAAACGTCAGCTAAATCGGTCTAAATTACGTTGGATTTTGGTCACCAGACGTCCCAAAACATAAGCAAAGATCAGTGTAAGATGGCACAGTGTGCATGCTGCAGGACACCAACAGCAGAAGTGGATTGGCTCTAATACGGACGGCCTTATTGATTAGCATGTCAAACACTGTGAGAAACCATGTGGAGTCTTTGAGCTGTAGCGGTCTGGAAAACACTGCGCTTGACTCAATCTGCATTGGCCAGAAAAACTCCGGCTAACTTTAGTTTATATCCTTACATCAGTGTTGTACCCTGCTTTAATCTGCAGCCCTGATCTGCGCAGGCTTTTTCAGTAGGGTTGTTTAATATATGCTTTCAGCATCAGTATCGGAAACAATAGTCGCATCACAGGATCTGCAGTGTCAACTGGGGAACCTGATCTAATAGTGTAAAGGCTTATTTATCTGGATATATTTTGATGTATTTTTACAGCTCAGTGGGTAGTACTGTCACCTCAAAGCAAGAAGGTCACTGGTTCGAGTCCCGGCTGGGTCAGTTGGTGTTTCTGTGTGGAGTTTGCATGTTCTCCTCGTGTTGGCGTGGGTTTCCTCGGGGTGCTCCGGTTTCCCCCACAGTCCATACACATTGGCTGTAGTGTGTGTGTGTGTGTGTGTCAATGAGTGTGTATGGGTGTTGCCCATTACTGGCTGGAATGACATTCGCTGTGTAAAAGATGTGCTGGAATATTTGGCGGTTCATTCCGCTGTGGTGACCCCTGAAATAAAGACCGAAGGAGAATTCCTGTATGAATGTATTTTAAGGCCTGTGACTGAGATTTCAAGTGAATTTAAAGCATTTGAGCACCACAAATGACAAAGTTCGTCTTTTAAACAGGGATGAATTGAGTTTATACAGTGAAGACTTTATGGTGTTATTTTACAGTTAATTATTGAGTTTCTGAGGCTCAGTACTGTTAGACTGGTGTCCACAAAGCGCTGTTGTTTTCATCTGCTTCTTTCTCTGTTGTTTTCATCTGTGCTTTAATGCATTCAGTGTGTTTTTGTGTTTCATGCAGATGTACTGGCCAACAACATCATCCTAATTCGCTGTAAAATTATGAATGCTTTCTAAACAGTTACACTCACGTCAGTTTATTCTCAATATACAAAACTGAAAGTCTCAGATGATGTCGGTTGTGAATACATGTTGTAATATTGTGTATTATCTTAATCTGTAGTTTTTATCTTGTTGTCTTGATTTCCAGTTCTAATATCTGAAGACGCTTGAATTGAGATTAAAGAATGCTTTGAGACGTTGAGTTTTGGTTAGAATTTTGATATTCGATGTTAGTTAGCAAAATAAATGTATTGCATGTTGAGTGGGGCGGGGGAAACTTTTAAGCAGAATAAATATATTAGTGCATATCAGTGAAAACTTAAGCAGAATAAATAGAATGTTGCCCGGTAGTTAGGGGGTGAAAACTTTTAACCAACATAAATATATTATTGCATGAAATAATGGAAATATTATTGAAAATTTTTAAGCAGAATTAACTTAATTGTATGATAGTTTGGGGGTAAAAAACTTATAAGCAACATTTTATTGCTTGTTAGTTTGTTGGGGGAAGTGGGGGGGGGGGGCTTTAAGCAGAATAAATATATTGCATATCAGTGTTTAAGGAAGGGGTGAAAACTTTTAAGCAGAATAAATACATTTTTGCATGTTAGTTTTTATTTTATTTATTTATTTATTTATTTATTTTGGGGGGGGGGTAAGCAACATTTTATTGCATGTGAGTTTGGTTAGGGGGGAACCTTTAAGCTGAATAAATATATTGCATATCAGTTTTTTTTGGAGGGGGGGGGGTGAAAACTTTTAATCAGAATAAAAACATGCTTGAATGGTATTTTGGAGGGGGTAAAAAGTTTTAAGCAACATTTTATGGCATGTTTGTTTAATGGGGGGGGTGTCTTTAAGCAGAATTAATGCATTATTGCATGTCTGTTTGGGGGACGGGGGTGAAAACTTAAGCAAAATAAATGGATTACTGCATGTTAGTTTGGGGATGCGAACTTTTGAGCAGAATAAATGGATTATTGCATGATAGTTAGGGGCTGAAAACTTTTAAGCAACAAATATTTTATTGCAATTAGTTAGTTTGGGGGGCGGGGCTTTAAGCAGAATAAATGCATTATTGCATGTTAGTTATTAGTTTAAAAAGTTTGTTAAATATTTTATTGCATGTCAATGTTTAGAGATGTATAATAAAATCAAACTTTATATGACTTTATACTTTAATATATTGAACATAGGCAGATAATAAGCCAGTAGTGAACAGTGTGAATTAGCTGAAGTTTTACTCTTGTTTTCTTGTGTTTGATATTGGTTCCGTGTGTCCTGGTGGCTGCAGTAACCTGAGGAGCGTGTGTGTGTGTGTGTGTGTGTGTGTGTGTGTGTGTGTGTGTGTGTGTGTGTGTGTGTGAAGGGGGTTTGGTTTAGAGGGTCTGGAGCTCTCTGCTTCAGAGGAGTGGCTCCAGAATACCGCAGTAAAGTTTGAGGCATCAGTTCTGCTCCTTCACTCCACTGTAAACATCCTGAGCAGCACAACATGATGTGGATTTACATCTGATTTACAGGCTCCCTCTGAGGACATGTAGGATCGCGGAGAACACTCTTTCAGCCCTGAATACTGCTCGCAGACGCTTCTGACTGAGGTGAGGTCAGTGTTTGAGCTGATTTTTAAGAGAATGCTTCATTATATTGAAAGTCTCTCCTCTGGGGCTCTGAGTGCACGTGTGTCCTATATTCTGCTGTGTCACGTCCTACTTTTTGAAGTTATATTGGGAAGCTTTTATAAATGTCTGAAAACTGGGGCTGATTGTTAGTTTTAAAGAGTGTGCTGGAAGAGAAAGAGGTGTGTTGTGGGAAATATCAGACTTTCAGAGTTAGGAGTTCTATCTCATGTCCTGATAATAATGATAGTTATCACTATATATGATCATTTCTGTCAATTCAATCAGCAATCAAAGTTCTCATTTTGTTCAGAGCTTCATGGCAAACGTTTGATTAAGAATGTAGAAATATGCAAATAAATATTAATCCAGTACAACAGACTTTATAAAACTATTGATTGAAGGTCTTATTTAATAATAAAAGATGTAAAATGTAAAAACAAAGTACTTTCAAGATTGCAATTTTCTCATGATGCCGTTAATCTTGTTTCTGTAAGTAATGTAAAAGTATTACAGTAAACCCCATGATATAAATGATAGAGCGAGGTAAAGGTTTTTATTTCGTGACGTGTCTCCGGCGGGTCAGAGCGCAGGTGGTCTCTCGCTAATGCCTTCAGTCTGTTGGGAAAAGACAAACCATTTGGTCCTAGAAAAACACTGGAGCTCTTCAAAGTTTGGCCAAAAGTTTGGGAGGATCGTCCAAATGCTCTGAAATGAGTCGACACTGCCGTCCTTCCTGTTTCAGACATCCAGTGCTCTCTCATATTTCACTGTGGGTCAAACGTTTATTAGGTTCTTTAATTGTTTTCATGATAAACCTTTATTAGAAACTCACAGATCAGGAGTGTTTTTGCTGGACAAATGTCCTTAAGTGTGTTTTTGCTCATCAGTTTTAGGGGGTGAAAACTTTTAAGCAACACAAATGCATTATTGCATGTCAGTTTTGGTGGGTGAAAACTTTTAAGCAGAATAAATTATTTATTGCATGTTAGTTTTGGGGGGGGGGGGGGTGAAAACTTTGAAGCAACATACATTATTGCATGTTAGTTTTTTTCGGGTGGTGGGGGGGTTAAGCAACATAAATACATTATTGCATGTTAAATTTGGGGGGGGGGGGTGTGTGAAAACTTTTAAGCAACATAAATGCATTGCATGTTAATTTGGTGGGGGGGGGTTAAACTTTTAAGCAACTTAAATACATTATTCTATGTTAGTTTCAGGGTTGGGGGGGCTGAAAGCTTTTAAGCAACATAAATACATTGCATGTTAGTTTTTTTTGTTTTGGGGGGCGTCTTAAGCAACATGCATTATAGCATGTTAGTTTGGGGGGGGGTGAAAACTTTCAAGCAACATAAAAACATTATTGAATGCTATTGTGGGGGGGGTAAAAAGTTTTAAGCAACATTTTATTGTATGCTTGTTTAATGGGGGGGAGGGGCTTTAAGCAGAATAAATGCATTATTGCATGTTAGTTTGGGGGGGGGGGGTGAAAACTTTTAAGCAACATAAATTGCATGTTCGTTTTTTTGAGGTGGGGTGAAAACATTAAGATAACATAAATGCAATATTGAATGTTAGTTGTGAAGTTGGTGGGGGTGAAAACTTTTAAGCAACAAAAACATTGCATGTTTGGGTTTTTTTGGGGGGGGGGATGAAAACTTAGGCAACATAATTGCATTGCATGTGACTTTTTTTGATGGGGGTGAAAACTTTTAGGCAACATAATTGCATTATTGCATGTTAGTTTTGGTGGTGGGGGGTCTTTTAAGCAACATGCATTACTGCATGTTAGGTTTGGGGGGGCTTTAAGTAAAATAAATGCATTATTGCATGTTAGTTTTAGAGTGGGTGGGGGGGGACTGAAAGCTTTTAAACAACATAAATACATTGCATGTAAAAAATTTTCTTGGGGTGGGGCTCTTTTAAGCAACAGTCATTACTAGATAATTTTTAGGCAACATAATTGCATTATTGCATGTTAGTTTTGGTGGGTAAAAACCTTTAAGCAGCTTAAATTCATTGCATGTTTTTTTTGGGGGGGGGGTGAAAACGTTAAGCAACAAATGCATTGCATAGAAGTTTTTGGGGGGTGAAAACTTTTAGGAAATATTGGTTTATTGGGGCTTCATAGTTTACTCCTTTTATACTGAAATACTCAAATTCTCCTCTTTAAAATTGTTTTTTCTGCATGTTAATTAATAAAATATCAGTATTATTGTGGCTTTACTTTATGACTTGGTTTGTCTTAGTTTTATTGGTCTCAGTTTTAACAATAAAAAAAATGCTTTTAGTTTAGCAATATTTCTTCCGTATATTCAAACGTGTCCTGACTTTTTAGAGTACTTCCATGGAAAAAATAAATTAATAAATCTTTAATTTTTACAGTGCATTCCAGAAAACCGACACTAATAATCATTTCTATGATCAATACGCTATTAAAAGACTCTATGAGGAGCACTGTTTGGCATCGACACACTCATTAAGTCTCTCTTATGTGAAGTTTTTCCTTGGTGTTCTTGTTTGTTTGAGAAGATTCAAAGATGCTTTTTGTATCTGAATGTTTTTGGAGGTGACATCACAAACGTGTGTATTTGTTGGACGGAGGTTTTGGAGGGAAACTCCTCATGTGCAGGGTTCGTTCTCATCGTCTGCCAGTAGTGCTGTTCTTAACATTAAACCCAAAGACAGAATCCAGCACTGACACACAGATCTGCACCAGCCAAATCAAACACATCCTGACTAATGCATCCAGCAGAATGAACATTTCCACATTTACTGGCCCTAATCAAGGCTTGTTTTTACACACTACTCATAATCATGCCATTAACCACATCATTACAGTGAGTGTCATTATTGCTGCATTTGTCAGTCAGATGTTCAAAACAGTCACATTTACTGTCTCTCAAATCCTGAGGGTTTTGGCCGAACTGTGGACTGAATCTGGTTTAACTCCATTAACACGAGCACTGTAGTTACTTTACTTGTAGAAAAAGTGAGTAAACGGATTGTGAATTAGAATTCAGATCACGGTTTCATAACCTAATTATTTTCATCAGTTTTTTGAGTAAAGTCAATTAATCATTAAAAAAGCAAATTAATCACTCTAAAAATCAACTAAATGCTTTAAAAGTCAATTAAGCACTTTTAAAGTCAACTACTTGTTTTAAAAGCAGTGGGTTTATTCTCTAAAAAAATAATAAGTCAACTAAGTGTTTGAAAAACTGAGTTAATTTATTGCTCCTAAATCAAAGACAACCAATAGCTTTAAAAGTCAAACAATTGTTTCAAGACAACCCAACACTTTAAAAGCCAACCATTGGTTTTAAAGGTTGACCAATCGCTTTTAAAGTCAACCAATTGTTTTTAAAGTTAGCCAAACACTTTGAAACTTAACCAATCAATTTAAAAGTCAAACAATCACCTTAAAAAGCCAACCAATAGCTTTAAAATTCAACCAATTGTTTTAAAAGTAAACCAAATGCTTTAAAAGACAACCAAACACTTTCTGAAAGTCAACCAATCACTTTAAATGCAAAACAATGGTTTTAAAAGTCAACCAAGCAAGTTTAAACTTATCAATCTACCTATCAATTTAAAAGTCGATACCTACATACAGCCAATACCTTTAAAATTCAACTAATTGTTTTAAAACTCAACCAAGCACTTTTAAAGTCAACCAATTGTTTTTAAAAGTCAACCAATTGTTTTTAAGTAAACCAAACACCCTTAAAAGTCAACCAAATCACCTTTAAAATTCAACCAATCACCTTTAAAAGTCAACCAATTGTTTTTAAAGTCAGCCAAACACTTTGAAACTTAACCAATCAATTTTAAACACAATCAGTCATGTTTAAAAGTCAACCAATAGCTTAAACATTCAACCAATCCCCTTTAAAAGTTAAGCAATTGTTTTTAAATTTAACCAAATGCTTTAAAAGACAACCAAACACTTTCTGAAAGTCAACCAATCACTTTAAATGATAATCAATAGTTTTAAAAGTCAACCAAACATGTTGAAACTTAACCTATCAAGTCAACCAAACACCTTTAAAAATCAACCAATCACCTTTAAAATTCAACCAATCACCCTGAAAGTCAACCAATTGTTTTAAAAGTCAACCAATCACCTTTAAAGGTCAACCAATTGTTTTTAAGTAAACCAAACACCCTTAAAAGTCAACCAAATCACCTTTAAAGGTCAACCAATTGTTTTTAAGTAAACCAAACACCTTTAAAATTCAACCAATCACCTTTAAAATTCAACCAATCACCTTTAAAATTCAACAATCACCTTTAAATGTTGACCAATCACCTTTAAATGTCGACCAATCATCTTTAAAATTCGACCAATCAGCTTTAAAAGTCGACCAATCACCTTTAAAAGTTGACCAACCATCATCTTTAAAAGTCGACCAATCACCTTTAAAAGTCAACCAATTGTTTTAAAAGTCAACCAATCACCTTGAAAGTCAACCAGTTGTTTTTAAGTAAACCAAACACCCTTAAAAGTCAACCAAATCACCTTTAAAATGTAACCAATCACCTTTAAATGTCGACCAATCACCTTTAAAAGTCAACCAATCCCTTTTAAAAGTTGACCAATCATCATCTTTAAAAGTCGACCAATCACCTTTAAAAGTCAACCAATTGTTTTTAAAGTTTAACCAAATGCTTTAAAAGTCACCCAATAGTTTTACATTGGAAAAAATCTAAAAGTTTTTAAAAGTCAATTGATTGCTTTAAACCAATGGGCTTACTCAATTTTTACTTAACTGATCACTTTAAAATTCAACTAATCGCTTCGACTCTCTTATTAAAAATGAATATCCACTAATCTCTTTAAAAGTCCACTAATCACCTTAGAAGTGAAGTAATTGCTTTATAAGCACTGGGTTTACTCGCTTTTTAAAGTAAGGTCATTTAATCGCTTTTAAAAGTTTTACTCACATATTCAAAAAGCAGTCAAGCAGTCGCTTCAGAAGTCAAC